GCTTAGAACTTAAAATCTTACTTTCACTTTTCTCAGTTTCTGTTTCACAGGGTGGTATGTTCTGATTTCAACAATTTTTTGAAAACTGTGATACTTTATGAGTTAGATTTTTTCCTTGAGACCAGCATACAAAGAACATATTGCATGTTGGTTTAGATGATTATTTTCTTACTATAGAACTTAGAAAGGAGAAAATGTACACTGTCTTTTCATTTGCTGTTCTTGTTCCTCTTAACCATAGGCAGATAAAAATAGTTTGTGTTAAAGTTTACAAGATTTGAGTTGCCCTCTCTTAATATTCACTTCATTTCGTCCATTTTTCCATAGTATGTTATCAACTAAAAGTTCTTTCATCTTGGATTTAACAATTATCTCCAAGTGCCATAGTCTGCATGTGATTGATCCAAGATGCAACGCATTAGACTCTTATCACATTCTAGTTTCTGGAGAATTTTATTTTTGGCTGAATCTCTATTATCTTTTAGATCGATAGTTTTTCCATTTTCTTTTCTATTGTGAGCTGTAAGACTATTGGGAGCTAAGGGTGATGGCTGGTTCCAAGTTGTTATGACTAGATTGTGTAGTTAATTAGCTCAGCTGGAGTCCTGTTTCTAATGAACTAGTTCTTTCCTCTGCTGAAGACAGTTGTATGTGATTTATGATCAAATATCAAAAATGTAAATAGCCAACTTGATTTTCCATTTTCCTGCTGGAACTTCAAGTTTTGATTTCTTGATGACAGTCATAACCTTCTTTCTATGTTTGCACTTCCCTTCAAGGTTCATTGATGTTGACCTTGACAAAGCAATGCAACGGGTTTTGAAAAGGCATATTTCCACTGGTATGCTATCCTTTTGGATTTTTAACAATCTACCGCTCTTAAACATGCATATGGAAAAATTTATGCATTCATGACTTTATTTTTTTCTGCTTCACAACAGGAAAGCCCCCTGATATTGCTCAGTGGAGGGTAAGTCTGACTGTTCTGAGTCTTAATGTTGTCTTAACAGACACAAGTTCCTTTCTAGCCAAGTTTTCATGACCCTATTGTTTTTGTCCTGCAGATAGACTACAATGACGGACCCAATGCAGAACTTATCATGAAGTCAAAGAAAAATGCGGATCTAGTAATCAAGTCCATTGACTTCTGAGGGAAATTCCACTTCGTATGGGAGGCAGAGGAAAGGTCAGTTGATTGTAATTCACTCATTTGCATTGATTGAAACATAGCACCCCCTTCAGGACTTCATGTTGATTTTTTTTGGGTACATAAATCATGTTGGCTTAAATAATGGGGACATCGAACATGAATATTATCAGAAGCGTCGCTTTGAGAACCAAATTTCTATCCATAACTTCGAAAACTTTCCTGCTAATATGGATCGTGGATTATTGCTATAAATGTTATTATGAACCCTTATAGCACCTATTGGTCATGTCATGAGGAAAGAAGTTAATTAAACAAGGCCATGTTATGTGCTGTTGACTGCTTCAAGGTAAGTTGTGAATGAGATCTGATCGATTCAGCAGTTGACAGGGTTGATTACTATTTACTTGCGCTAGAAGTTTTCTGTAGGTCACACAAGAAAGCCGTGTTCTTTCATAATTTGATCCCCAATTTCAGCACCCTGTCAGAAATAAATGCTCAGGTACTCCTTTCCCTGCTTCTTCGTGAATAAATAAATAAACATGCAGATGCGATCCTTCGTCTGTCATTCAATCTAATTTTCGTTGCCTTTCCAAATCTTTCCTTAATCGTAAATACAGTCGAAATTTAAGACCTCGTAAGTCGTAAGTACACGGTTTAAAGCTGTTAACTGTTGGGATATGAACGTTTATCAGTTTTTGCTAGAGGGATCATGTTATGCTTATACAAAATACTATAATTGTGTTTAATTTATCTAATTTTATCGATTCATAACTATTAAAATGCTTAAAATTATTAGATTGTAGGTTGATTTTAAATTGTTAAATAATAGATATTGTTTTATTTGTTATTATCTGAGAGTTATAGTTATCAGTTATAAGATATTTTTTGTATGATGTTAACAATTTCTGTGTGGCCTAACCATGGCCTGCTAAAGCTACTAGTCTTCTCTCTATACATCATCGAGTCGATGGATCTTTTCCAAGAATTATGCCTGTACCTGTTTAAGCTCTAAAACTCCGTTCTCCTTTTCCCTCCTGCAAAGTTTAAAAAATTTACAGTTTTCCATTAATGGAATGCATGATCATCGGCATCGTCAGTGTCAGAGGGAAATTAATTAGTTGATCATTTAAGTCCACAAATTCCGGACCATCAATGCAATGGACTAGCAGGAGAGGGAGGGGCCACAGTTACATCAGGTTAAATTCTCACCGCCATGAACCACTACAATCAGGGAACGTATTGAACAGCTTTCTCAGAAGTTATAAACTCTTCTAAAATAAGCAATCCATATTTGATGTGACTTTAATTTTTACGGAAAAAATTGTCCCCCCAATTATAAAATAATTTTTACTTTCGATAATTTGTTGATTTAAATAAAAATAATTTAATTTTTTTAATAAAAATTTATTAAAATAACGTAATTTTAAGATAATTTTTTTTTTAATTTCTAAACACATTACTTAAAATTCAGGTATGATACTTTTAAATTAAAATATTATATTTTTAATTAGTTGAGCTATCGTTTATGGCACATACCATTCAAATATGATCACTCACTATAGGGCACTCTCTATCTTGACCTAGTTTTCATAAATTTGAGTGTTGCCCTTCTGGACTTCAAGTGCTTTTGTATGCTGACATGAATGGGACTGAGTTTCTCAGACTTATTTGTAAGCCTCGTTAATTTAACGTACGTCTTCTTCCACCAAAATAAAAATATACATATATATATATATATATATATATCACATAAGTAATTAAATTATTTTTAATTAAAAATTATTATTAATGATCTAAATAATTTAATAATTATTTTTTTCGTTGAAAATAAGAGATTTTGAGTTTAAGTGGTATAACACACGAATTAAATATAATAAAAAATAAAAAACAATTATTTTTCATTATACAATTAAAATAAAAAAATTAGAAATTACTCAACAAACTTAGGCATATGTTACAAGTTTTCCAATTTAGTATTCCTATAATATATAAAAAGCATCATTCGAAATATTTAATCAAAAAGTTGAAGTAGTACAACTAAAATGATTACAACTAATCATAAACTCTTTTTTTTTTTTTAAATAATTCCATTGGTATCCCATAATGTTTGTCTAAAATTTCAGCCAAACTTCCTAATCTTGCCTCGCCTTGCCTTTTAATTTTTTTATTTCTAAAAAAGAAAACTATAATTTTGGGAAATTAAAGATAAGTTAGAACTAAGCTGGTCAAGGACACATACACAGTAAATA